GCGGTGGCGGCTGCGGCGGCAGCGCCGCGCTCTTCATAGTGTCGGGCCCCTCAGCTGCCTCTGCTCGCGACACTCACTCGGGGCCAGCGGCAGCCCTCCTCACACTCCGTTCTGGCCGTCTCGGCTGGGCTCGGCGCACCTCTGCGCCCCTCAGCGCCGCCGTGCGGGCCCGGTCGCCGCGCTTCGCTCCGCTCGCTCTCCCCGCGCTGCTCTGCTCCCGCCCGTCCGCCCGCGCTGCTCCTCTCCGCTCCGCTCCGCTCCCTGCCTCTCTCGCGCCCTCCTAGGCCAGCCGGTCGGCCCACTGCCCGGCCCCTTCGGGCTTCGCTCTCGCTCTGGCCGTTCGCCGGTGCCGGTCCTGGGCCGGCTCTGCTCTGGCTCCTCGCAGGCTGCTCCCGGAGTTCCGGCTCCGGCGGGCCACCTGGCTCCCAGCAGCGCCACAGGCGCCGGACGCGGACGCGGACGCCGGGCTTTACTTAGAGCGCTTCTCGCTTCCGCCTCTCGTTCGCACCGCTGAGGTGGCTGCCGAGCGGCACGGCCCCTGGTTCCCGCTGGCCATGCCCCCTCAGTCTGTCGCCATCTTCCGCTGTGAGGAGAACACCTTGAGAGCCCGTGTGCGAGTGTGTTTGGTGGGGAGCGGGGCGGAGAAAGAGGCACGAAGAGGAGGAGGGAACGGGACTGGGGCCCCGACTGCGCCTGCGCCTTAGGACTCTTCCCCCCCCGCCCCCCCCCCAGCCCCCGCTGGCCACAGTCTGTGCTGTTTGGGGATGTTTCCAGTCCACCCCCAACTCCATTCACTTCAGTGCCTCCGTTCATCCACCCGCGTGCACACGCCACACGCTGAGTCCCAGGTCCTGGCGCTCCCCCACCCCCGCCAATCCAAGCGCCCTTTCCTCCCCTCGGCGGCTGCTCACTGCCCCCGAGGGTTCGGGGGCTTTCTGGGGGGTGATTCTTGGAGGCAGGAGGCATCTCCCTAGCGTCTCGCTGCCTCTCCCGTCCTTTGTGACTAGGCGGAGCTGGAGCTGGCTGCGGATGGCACCAGTCCCTTGTCCCTAACTCCGCTGTCCTGCCCGAGGCCAAGGCGGCCCCTGGTGCTGAAGGATAGCTCCCAGCTTAGCAGCTGTGCAGGACAGAGCTTGGAGAGCGTCCTTGAGGGGGCAAGACAGTGGGCTAAGATGGTTATTAGTGATGGGGTGTCGTTTCTGCCCTTAGTAAGATTTCCAGCAGCCTCTTCCCCGTCTTAGCTTCCTGGCTCCCCCTATAGGCTGCTGAGAATAGCTGAGCAATAGTTAGGGAAGCAGTGCCGCCCAGATGGATCCATGTGCTTGGTGCCCTCACAGAGTCACGTGGCACTAAGAACTCTGATGAACAAACGTCCTGCTGTGCCACTAACCTTGTTTGGATTTCACCAAATCTCAGAGTGGTCCGGTTGTCTACTTCCTTTTCTCACTCCCTCCCACTCCCTGTAACTCCCACATTCTAATTTTTAATCAACCATTACCAGTAAGGATTTGCTAATATTGAGAATAAAAACAATAAAATACTCTTTATTGCATGTATACTAGGTGTTTGATTACTGCTCTAGGCACTTTACATACATTATTTTATTTAATCTTCACAACAATCTTATGAAGTAGGCACTACTGTTATCTTCATTTACATATGAGGAAGCTGAAGTTTAGAGTGGTTAAGTTGCCTCAGGTTACACAGCTAGTAACCAATGAAGCCAAGATAGAAACCCAGGCAGTCTGGTTCTAGAGCTCTCTTAACACTCCAGTAAACCCTGGGGGAAAAAATGAAGGGATGGAAGACACAGTCCTTCCTGCCTTACAGGAAATTATAGTCTATATGAGGAAACAAGGCATATATGTTGGCTAGGGCGAGGATTCATGGGAGACTTGGGTTCAGGTAATAGTTCTACCACTGAACATGCTATGTGCCCTAGAGAGAGTCATTTCTCTCACTGAGTCTTGGTTTTCCCCTGAGTAACATGAGGAAATGCCAATGGCTAAATAAGATGGATGTGAATCATTAGCACTATTCAGAGGTGGGCCAGGGTGGGCTGGGGTGGATGCAGGAAAAGTTTCTGGAAGAGGGAGAGTTTGAGCTGGTTCCTAAAGAAGTAGTGGGATTCACCCTAGCGGGTTTTGCTCAGTGGATAGAGCATTGGCCTGCAGACTGGAGGGTTCACGGGTTCAATTCCAGTCAAGGGCATGTACCTTGGTTGCAGGCTCGATCCCTGGCCCTGGTCAGGGTGCGTTCAGGAGGCAACCAATCAATGTGTCTCTCTCACAGCTATGTTTCTCTGTGTGTGTCTCTCCTCCTCCCTCCCACTCTTTCTAAAGATCAGTGGTGAATTAGGGATGCAGACATTTTAAAGGAGGCATTGCAATCCATTGAAACAAGAATGATATGAATGTAAGGGAGGAGAGGGCTTCCTCTCATAGAGGTGGGCACTGATCAACTCTGTCAGCTTCCCTCAGAGATGATTTTGCACACAGCCACTTGAGTTGGGGGGAGGGATCCATTCATTTATTTATTCAGCAAATGTCTATTGACGATATGTTATGGTCCAGATGCTGTATTAGGCATCCAAGATATAGAATTGAGTAAAATACCTGTCTTGGACTGAAGGAGTTTAGTTGAAGTCTTAAGGACTGAGTAAGAATTGCCTAGACAAGAGAGAAGGTGGTGTGTGAAGGATGTCCCAAGCAGAGGGAATGTCATGTGTAAAGGCCCAGAAGCCAAGTCAAGAATGGCATGTTCAGAAACCTGCAAAGTAATTCATTGTGACTAGTTGTGAAGGGAAGCACTTTCAAAAATGAGGGTGAGGATTTAGCAGGAACCAATCATGAAAGGCCCTGGGTGCCATGCTAAGCAGTTTGGACTTTATCCCAAGGGTACTAAGAGCCACAGAAGAGGTTGGAAGATTTTCAGCAGATTTGTATTTCTAGAAGGTTGATTTGGCTGCAGGATGGAGACTGGATTGGAGTGAGGGGTGAGAGGAGACTTGAGGCAAGGAAATTGGTTAGGAGACTGGTTAGGGTAGTCCAGGTGAGATGTGTTAAGAACTGAACAAAGAATGCAGCATTAGGGGTGCCGGTGGTCTTAATCCAGCATCTAGAAGGGGTTTAGGAATCTGGAGAAGGTGCTGTGTGTAAATTAATCAAGAGTCCAGAGACAAAACATAATTTTGGAAGGCATTTTGGGGAGTGAGAGAAAACTTAGCTAAAGAAACCAAGTTCTTCTGTCTCTCTGGACCCCTTGCTTTTTATTAACACAAATTGTCCTAAGGCAAGGTAGATATAGATATCAAAGACAAGGTTTAGTATACAGAATCCATTATTAGATTGGGGGGAAACTGCCTACAGCTGTTCAGGTGTTTGGCCAGCAGGAGGCAATAACATGTAGATTGAAATGCCCTCAGCTGTCTGACAGCAAGCAATCATTTATGCATCCTTTTCAGGATTGGGGAAATGCCCTCAGCCATTTCCAGATGATTCAGCCCTGCTGACATGCTAGAATTGGCTTCCGGCATTGGGGTAGGGTGAGGAAATGCACATGGGAGGGAAATGATAGAGGTAGAATGGAAAGGACCTGGGACTGGCCTAAATGTAAGGCATAAAGTAAGAGACAGGGCCTGAAGAAGGAGGATGAAACCAAAGGGTTTGATTTAGTGACATTGGCACGACTGCCCCTGCCCACTTAGCAACTGTTTCTTTCTAGAGTGATTCTTTGTTCAGTCCTTGGAGGGTTCAGTGTTCTGTATAACTAAGAATGCAAATCGCTTAGAGCAGCGGTTCTCAACCTGTGGCTCGCGACCCCTTTGGGGGTCAAACGACCCTTTCACGGGGGTCGCCTAAGACCATCGGAAAACACATATTTTCGATGGTCTTAGGAACCGAGACACCACTCCTCTATCCGTCTTCAGGCGGGTCCGCCCACATGCAGGTACGCCCACATACGAGTATCCGGCATGATGACATCATTGCGCCAACCCCATCACATACACCCCGTACAAATACAGATGTATGTGACAGGGTTGGCGCCATAATGTACTTATGCGGACCAGTCACACATGTATAAAGAGCAGCTACTGTGCAGAAAGCAGCTGCTGTGTTGAAAGCAGCAGTATTGGAGCTAAAACGACACTTCATGAATTATAATTACTGGGTAAATGTAAAATCATGTACTGTAAAATCATCAACTATTGCAAAAAAAATATCTGTACCATGGGAACTTAATCTGGATGCTGATGGGTCTTTTTATATTCAGCTGTGGTTGATGTGAATACTGCCCCCTTGTGATAGTAGCAGGTATGTAAAAAAAACAACACAGAGAATAGTAAATCATAAGAAACTTTAATGAACTGTATTGACTGAACTATGCCATGTATCTTCTTTTGTATTATTAAAGCTATTGTTATATATTATTTTCATTAGCAAACCATCCCATGACAATGGATCGTGTAGAAAAGAACGTTAAGAAAAGAAAACATAGTGAGGATTTTTTACAGTATG